TTCAGTGGTGAGAAGCAGTCGTCAACGGTAAATGTTTTGTTGCTCCGAACACATTTCATCTACAAGCTGTTAAATAAAAAGTAGAATTAAAATCATTGTATCTCTACGCTTTTATAAGGTGTTTGGCGCTTTACTTGTATGCGTTTTAGATCTGGTTCGAAAACTATCTAATTTTTTGCATTAACAGCATATAGAAAAACTGTTTGATCTACCATCATGCTCAATAGCAATTGTTTCCATCAGAAACGGCTGAGAACTAGCAAAAATACGATAAAATTACAAAAGATGTCTATTTTTATCCCAAAATACTCTAATTTTTGTAATTCTTCCATTTTACAAATTTATCAACAGTAATGGCTTTGATTAAGAAAAATATTATCGTATCTTCTTAAAATATCAAATTCGTGAATTATTAAAAAATTATGCGTTAGAAAAATAGAATTTAATATTGTAACGCAATTTCAGTTGTGTACGGATTAGTATTTAATAAACATAGATCATTTATCGAAACTTTAGAATAGATATATAAAAAATTGATGATAGTAAAACCACTAGGGAAAATTTATATTCGAAGTTCATGAGGTAACTAATGGTAACGTCGCCAAGCGTAAAGTGGTCACTTCCTGTTTTCTTTCTATTTGCGTACGCCGTTGGGGAATCCATTTTTCAAGCTAAAATGTAAAACAAGTGACAATCTGTCGTTGTGTTCTTAATTCAAAGTAATGACAGCTTTGTTGCTTCATTGAGTAAACAAGAAACTTCTAATGACTCTTCTGTCAAGTTTAATTATTAAATGGGAATTAACTCTTAATTTGATGAAAAATGGTGGTTACTCTCTGAGACTTAAACGAGTGTAAATAAAACAGTGTATAAATACCTGTCGTCGAGCATCCAATCGACTAGCTGCAGGAAAATTTTTTAAAACTGTTGATTTTGGAAAACGATAACGAGTGTTCCTCAATATTTTTGTCGTATTTGGTATCGATGTTATAGGCGGTGTAAAATTTATCCGATCTCGTCGGCGTGCTGCTAAGATAGACATCGATCGATACATGTCAAAGGAACTGCAATAAAATTCAGCTAAG